GGGATATTGAGCTCTAATTTTCTTTTCCTTTTTTTGTTTTTGTGGAGTCATTGCCTGGCTTTGGTGTCACGGCTGTGCTGAATGAACTTGAGAGTATTCTTTCTTTATCTATGCTCCGAAATAGTTTGATTAGTATTGGTGTGGGCTCTTTTCTGAATGTTTGGTAGTATTCTCCAGTGAATTCATCTAGGCCAGGGCTTTCTGTTATTGGGATTTTGTTTCATTAGCTCATCAATCTCTTCTTTTATTATGGGCCTGTTCAGTTTTTCTACCTCAATTTGTGTTCATTTAGATAGGGAGTAGGTTTTTAGAAAATTTTCCATTTTGTCTAGGTTTCAAATTGATCAGAATACATTTTTCATAGTATTCTGTTATGATCTATTTTATTTCAATTGGTTCTGTTGTAATGCCATTCATCTCATTTTTATTTGGGCTGTTTGCTTCCTCTCCTGCTTTTCTTTTGTCAATTTGGCCAGTGGTTTGTCAATTTTATTGATCCTTTCAAGGAACCAACTTCTGATCTTGTTGATTCTTTCTATTATTTTTCTGTTCTCTGTTCCATTTACTTCTGCTCTAATCTTTATTATTTCCTTTGTTTTTGTGACTGTGGGCTTCTTTTGCTGCTCTCTTTCTAGTTGTTCATGTTGTAAGGTTAATATTTTGATTTGGGTCCTTTCTTCTTTTTTAGCTTATGCATTTATTGGTCTAAATTGACCTCCAAGCCCTGTTTTTTCTGTGTCCCAAAGGCTTTGGTATGCTGTTTTCATTCTTGTTTAATTCTAGGAATTTTATTAATTTCATGTATTCATTATTTTTATATCTGGAATGATTTCCCATATTTGAGTTCTAGTAAATAGTCATATATATCTTTTATAGTTTTTACACAATTTAATTTTTTTTTCATTTAATTCTTTAATCCATTAAAATTCCTATAGAGTTACATTGTCAATAACACTTAAAATAGAAATTTCAGTCACTGATATCCCTATCTGTCTTCCCTATTACACTGGAAGTTCCTTGAACCAAGAGGAAATTCTTACTCAGTTTTGTATTTCATGGAATTTGGCACAATGTTTTGCTGTAGAAGCAATTGAACAAGGACTATAAATATTAAAATAATTTGATTACCCATGTGATACACTTACTTTTTAAAGTTCTTTGAGTCTAAGACCTGATTTTGTAATTTTTTTTTGGTTTTTGCCTGCTTTAGTCCAAAGTCATCACTATTTACTGTGAATCTGTTCACAAAGCCACCATCATCTCCCAAGAGGATGTCATCTCGGCATAGCTGGTCTGGCAGGGGCACAACACAAACACAGAGGAGGCAATGATCCATGGGCTTTATAATAAAATAGTTTTCCTGGAAACAGAAAGATATTTTTAATGTGTTACTATCTTGCCTTACTTAATACAGTCCTTATAATTTGATATTAAAAGTTTCATTTTCTTTACTTTCTCTTTTCATATACTCCCACAGTGATAAAGGAACTTAAAAAATAGTAAAGTTAATCAATTAAAATTTAATGAACTAGTACTGTGAGCCCCATAGTGTATTTTTAGATGCTGTATGGTGAAAGGATTAGGGTACCTAAATAAGAAAATTGCTTCCTGTTCTCAATGACCTAAAAGTTTACTTGGAGGCAAATTTAATGTCTGAGAAATAATACAATTTGGTATCTTATTTAGGCTTGGCCTACCCTATCTCAGTGGCATAAACAATTAAATGCTGAACTACTAGCTGAAATATTGGTTGTTTGAATCCATCCAGAGAGAGATGCCTTGGAAGAAAGGCCTGGAGATCTGTTTCTGAAAGATCACAGACTAGAAAACCCTATAGAGCACAGTTCTACTCTGCACACATGGTGTTACCATAAGCTACCATGAGTTGGAATTGATCTGATGCAACTAGAAACAGCACCTTATCTCAGAAAGGATACAATATGCATATAAAATTAAAGAAGGTAATAATAATAAAATAGGGACAAAAATCTGAACAGAGAAAATACAAATAAAGAAAAGATAAATAAAGCTAGTGACACATAAAGGAAGAGATGTAGTACATCAAAAAGTTATTAGAGGAAAGGGTTTACCTTGAAGCTTCTTAGCTACCTCAGCTGGAAAGGACACATAATGAGTTCTGTGACTTTTAGGTGATGTCTTTTCTTTAAGGTAAAAACAAGAAAGTAGCTCAGAAGAAGTACAGCCACTTCTTTCAGACAAGAGAAAATTTTCATCAGGTTCCCTTAAGGAAGAAACAATAACATTGTTCACTGTTAACACAGTGAACAATGTCATTAAGGACAGTCTTATAGTAAATTCTGGAATCAGTGCGCCATTGGAGGAAGGCAGTTATGAAGACTGCTTGAAGGCAAGGTACCTAAAAAAGAGAATACTGATGAATGAGTATGATTCATGCTGTGGAGATTGGTGGATCCTAATCAGAAATGTAGACTGAATGGAATTCTTGAAAAGGAGTCATGAAAAAAGTGTTATTTTCTTTGATATTGACAGACATATAGAGAAAACTGCTGTTGTTGTTGTTGTTGTTATGTGTCATCGAGTCGGACCCGACTCATAGCGACCCCTCCTTGGGTTTCTAAGGAAGTATCACTACAGAAGTAGATTGCCCAACCTTCCTTCCAAGGAGTAGGTGGGTTTGAACTGCCAGCCTTCTGGTTAGCAGTCAAGTGCCTTAGGCACTATGATAGGATTTTTAATGGATTAGATGTGGGGTGGTGGTAATGGTGTTAAAGAGAAGGCAAAGAAAGGAAGCCAAGATGTCTTCTCAGTTTTTGATGTGATTTATTGGGTAGATTGTGATACATTGGAAGAGAAATAGTTATGAAGAAGGGAAAGACTGTGATCAATCAAGAGTTCAATTCTAGACATGTTGAACAAGACAGAGTTTCTGTTTGTTTAGAGCTACCACTCTAAACAGTCTCCTCTACCAAATTTTAATGTACTATATCTCAAAATTTAAATGAAAAATAATTTTAAATAATGAGAAATGCACTTAAGGAAATAATAGAATTTTGTTATACAGAATGACTAAAGAGGCTGATTTAGATCTCATGGTCAGAGGAGGGCACAATGAAGAGGTGACCTTTCATTTGGTATCTGAATTAGGTGAGAGGAAAATTGAGAGGAGGCTAAGAGAGAAGGCCTGCAAGGAAAGGTTAATATCCAATGATAGAGAGAGAAGGCTATAGACCCATGTCCCATATAGAGGCAGAGGGGATGGGTCAAATGTAGATCATTTCATTTTCACAGAAAAAAAGGAAGGAAAGAAGGAAGCAATCAAAGCAGTAGAGGTGCATTTCTGATTAAATTTGTAGATGAGAGGACTGGAAGACAAGCCTGACACAGAGTTTTCTCGGGAAAATAGGGACAAAGCTGTCTGCTGAGAGGAATAGGGCCTGCGATGAGTAACGAAGGTTTGGAATACTTGAGAGGAATGGAAAAGCAATCTGGTAAGAACAAGAAAGAGATTGAGGGAAGTCACTGAAAGCTCAGCTGAGTTTGCAGACCCTGATGTTTTCAAACCTGATGCCAAATTTTGAGGTTTCTTGTTTTTCTCTAGCAATGCTTAGCTACTGTGAAGGACTAAAGATTTGAAGTATAGAGATTTAAGAGAATGGAGGGTGAGGATGACCTTAGCCTAGATGATCCACCCATGAGTAAGAAAAAGAAAAGAGTGAGTGGGACTGAAGATTAGAAGAAGATGGCTTCAAGGAACTAGAGGCTCCTATGGGATCAAAAAACAAGAAAAGCACAAGAAAGCTACAAGGAAGAGGAATTATAATCAAAGTAAAGGACATTGGAGTTTAGGGTTTGAGAAGTTAATAAAATCGTGGCTATACCCATATGAGTTAGCAAAACACCACAAAATGAAGTACACTAAGCAACAAACTGCCTTCTTTAAAATCAACCTGGCATCACTATTTGTTTATAATAGTGTGGATAAAGAAAATAAGAAGTTTACTTTTTCACTGAAGCTAGGCACAAGTAAAACAGCAAGAAAAGTTAAATTATTCCTTAATCCCCCAAAGTTTAGTGATCTCGCCTCTCTCTGAGACCATATTGCACTTCCTGTTCTTCACTGCATAATTTATAGTATTACATGTTATGTCTACTCATGAGATCCTTCAAGGTTGAGTTTTGTTTGAGTCTTGTTAATGTATCTTCTACTTGTCTGCAATTGTTCAATAAATACATAGATTAATTCAATGATAATATCTGAGCCATGGAAGGGATTAACATTAACAACTGCCCTATTAAAATTTTTCCACCAGAATTAGGCACTTAATGTTAGTAATTTTCTTACCAAATAAAGCTGGACTGGAGGAAAAGACCTTGAACTTGATAATATAAGCATAGCCAGAAATATACTTGAAATCAGAGAAGGGTATAAAAGAGGAAAGGAATTAGCCTCTTTCACTCAAAACATAAATAAATAAATAAAACAAAACAACTAATTAAAACATACACTAAATTGAAAAAAAAAACATTTTTATTTAGACTCAAAATACCAATGCTGAATTTAATCTAAGTGTTTATTTAGCTAAACTCTCTAATTCCATACATGAGGTAACTGATGTTCAAAGAAAAATATTAATTACTCGAATCCTACCATTTTGAAAAGAAAATCCCATTTTTTGAATATTTCTTTTGGCATAGTACCTGGCTATTCCCTTGAGCTTTATAATCCCAGACAATAATGGTCCTTTCTGTAGTGGCAACAATACGTTTCAGTTGTGAGAGATAGTCACATCCAGTAATCCAGGAGGTATCCTGATAGAAAAGCATAGAATTATTGTGTGGGGGGAGTGCAGGGTGGGTAATGTGCTTCATTCTATCATATGGTAATGGTTACCAAAGAGTAGGTTATTTTTGTTAAAATATCTATCTTGTTCCTTTATTTACAGAGGAGCCTCACAATGCATCCCCTTTGATGTCTTGAGAAAAGGCAGTCATCTTTTTCCCTTTCACCTTCATTCTGAATTTATCAGTATCCTCAATTGGAGAATGACTCAACCGTGGCTGTAGCTTCTCCCTAGAAAAGCACGACAATTGGCAAAGCATTTGTCTTTGTGCACTATTCACTCCTATTAGGATACTTCTTCACATGGGCACAGGAAGACTAGATCTGAGACAATGATTAAGTAAGTTCTCTGGCCCTGTCCCAATGCCTAAAACTTACATCTGGAAAAGATCTTATTATCATCTGGTCAATGATCAAGTTGAGGCCAAAGAGTTTGTCTTGCATCTTATCCAGTCACTATGCTGGCAGAGATAGAGTATCAACAACACACCACGCAACACTAGCAATAGTTCCCATTTACCTAGTGTCAGCTGTGCCAGAACTGCTACATGCATTTCAGGCATGTCCTTGAATCTTCTTTACAGAATCTTTTGTAAATCTCAGGAATTATAACAGGTTTTTTTTTTTTTTTTTCCAGTTTAAGAAATGGAAGACCTTCTTTGCCAAGTAGCTTCACTTTCTCCTTTGGACCTCAAGGAATTCAATACACGCAAAGAGGGTGAAGAAGTCAAGCATTTGCCCATTGCTTAAAGCCATAGTAGGGTTCTGAAAGCATGTCATCGTGGTTTTATGACATCTACCTTAAGATTACTTTACCAATTAGCAATCTGGACCACATAACTCAAAATTACACTACAATTTTTTATGTTGTTTTCACCTTTAAAATAAAATGTTTTCCAATTATTTCCATTGGTTGCTTCCCTTTTGTTCTCACAATGTGGGTTGTGTTCTTTTTTTTAACATTCCTCAGTAGTAGGTGCCTGGAAAAACTTAGAAGTTTATAAGTGGAAGTTGCCAGAGAGTAACCATTTGCAAACAATTCTCTGCCATCAGTTTAATGTCAGAAAGTAAGACCTGGGCCTTCTTTGCTGTTGCTCATGGCTTAGTTTTGATCCTAGTCAATAAACATAAATATTTACCATCATGAAAACATCTTATTTTCAAAGCCGATTGAGGCACTTCATTGAGATTTTGATTAGTTACTGAAGTTGTTATTAGATGCCCTGAAGTTGAATCCATACCACAGCAAACTTATATATAACAGAAAAAATGCTGCCAGGTCCTACGCCATCCTCATATTTGTTGCTATGTTTGGGCTCATTGTTGCAACCACTGTGTCAATCATTGAGGAACTTCTTTTTTGCTAACCCTCTACTTTACCAAGCATGATGTCCTTCCCTAGGGACTAATATGTCCTAATAAAATCGAAAGTAATGAGTCTTGTTATTCTCATTTCTAAGGAGCATTCTACCTGGACTTCTTCCAAGACAGAATTGTTTGGTTTTTTATTGTCCATGTCAATTCAATATTTTTCATCAATACTTTAATTCAAAGGCATCAGTTCTCCTTCAATCTTCCTTATTCATTGTCCAGCTTTTACATGTATATAAGATGATTGAAAATACCATGGCTTGGGTCAGGAACATGTTAGTACTCAAAGTGAAATCTTTGCTTTACTTTAAAGAGGTGGTTTTGTAGCAGATTTGCCAAATGCAATATGTCATTTGATTTCTTGACTCTGCTTACCTGGTGTTGATTGTGGATCCAAGTAAAATGAAATCCTTGACAACATCAGTCTTTTCTCTGTTTATCATGATGCTGCTCATTGGTCCAGTTGTGCAGTTTTTGTTGTTTGTTTGTTTTTATGTTGAGGAGTAATCCATACTGAAGGCATGTCTTTGATCTCCATCAGAAATGCCTCATGTCCTCTTTGCTTTTAGTAAGCAAGATTACATTACCTGCTTATTGCAAGTTGTTACTGATTTTTCCTCCAATCCTGAGGCCACCTTCTTCCTCATATAGTCCAGCTTCTTGGATTATTTTTTTCACATAAGCATGGTGAAAGGATACAATCATAATGCACCCTTTCCCAATTTTAACCTACATTATATCTGCTAAGAGCATCCCAGAAGGTGAACTGGGCATGGGGGGATTTCAGAGCAGCACTAAGGGAGGCCCAGAAGGTGAGCCAGGTGCAGGGTTTAGAGGAGGTTTAAGAGTGGCCAGGGAGTAAGCAGAGCAGTTTGGAACAACTAAAGGAGATGAACTTGTCTGTCAGTTTGTCATCCTGTGGTGGCTTACGTGTTGCTATGAGGCTGGAGACTATGCCATTGGTCTTGCAAAGGCCAGCAAGGTTACCCATGGTGGACAAGTATCTACAGATCTTCTAGACTAGGACAGACTTGGAAGAAGGAAGAGGCCATCCACTTCTCAAAGAATTGGCCAATGAACCTTATGAATAGCAGTGAAACACTGTCTGATATATTGCTGGAAAACTACGAATAGTCCAGAAACATTGTCTGATATAGTGCTGGAAGATGAGCCTCTAAGGTCGGAAGGCACTCAAAATACAACTAGGGAAGAGCTGCCTTCTCAAAGTAGAGCTGACCTTCATGATATCGATGGAGTAAAGCTTTTGGGATTTCCAATTACTAATATGGCATGACTCAAAATGAGAAGAAACATCTGCAAATATCCATTAATAATTGAACATGGTACTTATGACATATGAATCTAGGAAAATTGGAAATTGTAAAAAATAAAATGGAACTCATGAAGAACAATATTGTAGGCATTAGTGAGCTGAAATGGACTGGTTTTGGCCATTTTGAATCAGACAACTATATGATATACTGTGCTGGGAGTGACAAATTCAAGAGGAATGGCATGGTATTCATCACCACAAAGAATGTTTCAAGATCTGTCCTGACCTACAGTGCTGTCAATGATAGGATAATACCCATATGCCTACAAGGAAGAACAGTTAATGCTACTATTATTCAAATTTACACACCAACCACCAAAGCCAAAGATGAGGAAATTGAAGATTTTTACCAACTTCTGCATTCTGAAATTGACTGAACATGCAATTAAGATGTGTTGATTATCACTGGTGATTGGAATGCAAAAGTTGGAAACAAAGAAGAATCACTAGTAGTTGGAAAATATGGCCTTGGTGATAGGAATAGCTCTGGAGAACACATGATAGAATTTTGCAAAACCAATGACTTATTCATTGCAAATATCTTTTTTCAACACAAATGGCAGCTATACAGGTGGACTTCACTAGATGGAATACACAGGAATCAGATCGACTATATCCATTGAAAGAGGCAGTGGAGAAGCTACTATCTTCAGCCAAAACAAGGCCAGGAGGTAATTGTGCAACAGACCATCAACAAGTCCACGAAAGTGAAAATATGACATTGATTATATCTCTCCTGAATTTAGAGATCATCTAAAGAATGGATTTGATTCACTAAACACCAATGACTGAAAACCAGAGGAATTGTGGGATGACATCAAGAACATCATCCATGAAGAAAGCAAAAGGTCATTAAAAACACAGGAAAGTAAGAAAAGACCAAAATGGATGTCAGAAGAGATTCTGAAACTTGCCCTTGAATGGAGAGTAGCTAAAGCAAATGAAGAAATGACAAGATAAAAGAGCTGAACAGAAGATTTCAAAGAGCAGCTTGAGAAGACAAAGCCAATTATTATAATGAAATGTGCAAAAACCTGGAGTTAGAAAACCAAAAGGGAAGAATATGCTTGGCATTTCTTAAGCTGAAGGAGCTGAAGAAAATATTTAACCTTGAGCTGCAATACTGAAAGATTCTATGAGCAAAATACTGAATGATGCAGGAAACATCAAAAGAAGATGGAAGGAATACACAGAGTCACTGTACCGAAAAGAATTGGTTGATGTTCATTCATTTCAGGAGATAGCATATGATCAAGAACCAATGGTATTGAAGGAAGAAGTCAAGGCTGCACTGAAAGAATCAGTGAAAAACAAGGCTCCATGAACTGACTGAATACCCATTGAGATGTTTCAAAAACGGATGCCACGCTGGAGGCATTCACTCAGTTATGCCAAGAGATTTGGAAGATAGATACCTGGAAGACATTGATATTTGTACCCATTCCATGGAGTGCTAAAAGAACTAACAAATCTATCCTGACAGAAGTGCATCTGGAATCCTCCTTGGAAGAGAAATGGCTAAACTTTGTCTCACCTACTTTGGTCATGTTGGCAGAAGGAATCATTCCCTGGAGAAGGATATCATGCTTGGTAAAGTGGAAGGTCAACGAAAAAGGGGAAGGTAGTCGACAAGATTGATTGACACAGTGGTTGCAATGATGGGCTCAGGTATAGCAAGGATCGTGAGGATGGCCCAGGACCAGGCAATGTTTTGTTCTGTTGTACATAAGGTTGCTATGAGTCAGAGATGACTCGATGTAACAACAACAACAATATACACCCCTTGTCCTGTTCAAACAACTGCTCTCTTGGTCTATGTACATATTCCTTATGAGCAAAATTAAGTGTTCTGGCATTCCAATTCTTCACAATGTTATCCATAATTTGTTATGATCCACACAGTTAAGTGCTTTTGTATACTCAACAGAACTTAGGTAAACATCTTTCTAGTATTCTTTGTTTTCACCAAGATCCATTCTGACATCAGCAATGATTTCCTTTGTTTCATATTCTCTTCTAAATCCAGCTTGAATTCCCAGCAGTTCCCTGTTGAAGTGCTGCAACTGTTTTTGAGCTATCTTCAGCAAAAATTTTTCCTTGTGTGTGATATTAATGATATTGTTAAATAATTTCTACATTCTGTTGGATGACCTTTCTTTGGAATGGGCACATATATGGATCTCTTCCAGTTCATTGGGCTGGTAGCTGTCTTCTAAATTTCTTGGCACAGGCAAGTGAGAGCTTCCAGAATTGCATTAGTTTGCGAAGCATCTCAATTGGTATTCTGACAATTCCTGGAGCCTCTTTTTTCGCCAATGGTATCAGTGCAGCTTTGAGTTCTTCCTTGAATAACATCAGTTCTTTATTATATGCTACTTCTGAAACCAAGTATTTTTGGTTCAGTGACTCTATGTATTCTTCCATCTTCTTTTGATGCTTGCTGTGTGTTCAATTTTTTACCCATAGAATCCTTCAATATTGCAACTCAAGACTTCAATTTTGTCTTCAATTCTGTCAGCTTGAGAAATCCCAAAAGCATTCTTCCCTTTTGGTTTTCTAACTCCAGGTATTTGCATATTTCATTATAATACTTTACTTTGTTCTCTCCAGTTATGCTTTGAGGAGCTATCTCCGTAACCATGACTTTAACAACTTAAATAAGCATGTTTTAAATGTACTTACTGTAACGTTGGTGCTGGTCTGAACTTTCATCTACAAACAAAGGAAGAGAATTATAAACTTAATTGGCACTGCAATTAAAAATTAGAATGCAAATTCTAAAATAATACACTATCTTCTTAGTTTACTTTCACTTGTCAATTCTACCTTCCATGAATATCCTTCCTCTGTAGTAAAATTCATGGTTTGCTTTGGCAGTACTTACACTTCCATGACTTGTCTTTAAGCATTGACTGTGATGTGAGTCTTACCTACTTGTTACTAATCCTTTTGTTCTTTGTATTTGCAAGCTATCTCACATAATTTAGTTATTCATTACAATATTTGATACCAAAAGATGAAAATGCAAAATAATAATAGCTATGGCAAGAGCACTTAAAAGAATGCTAAGTAGATAAATATGAATATAGATTGATGTAGAGAAATAGTATGCATTGTCTCATTTGAAAATTATCTCCATATGTTACTAAAAGACTCATAACATTCTATACCATGGACTTCCTATTTTATTCACTGAATATCTATTTTGTGAATATTATTTCTTGGGTGCTATGTTAGTTGAGGATCATAGATTTGTTCCACACAGAGAGCTAGTATGTATATGAGAAGAACTCTTATCACCTTGAGGCAAGGTCATTACTTCCAAGGTAAAGGCAAGTGGTTTAAATATCAAAGACTCAGTTTCTTTTGCATGTTCAAAAGGTCTTGGGAAATGTCTGGGAAATGGCTTCCCAGAAGGAATGGATTATGTGAAAGGGGGAAAAAGTCGAACAGAGGGATCACTAAAACTGTTAGTCATGGCCACTCACAGACTGTCTTTCATCTGAAGGTTCAGAAAGGCTTATTTCTAGATGAGAAAAATAAAATGCTGTGAGGAAATTGGTGCGCACAGAACACCTGTGGTTTCCTGATCTCTCTCTCAGTCCCCAACTTTAGTGAATGTCACATGTTTAAAGTCTTCATACTTTTTCTAAAAACGTGATAGTCCTTATAGATAGTTTCTGAATTTTTAAAATCTAACCTTTGATGCCAAGAAAACCCACCAAAAGTTCTAAAGAGCAACATGAAAATCTCTAATGTATTTATTGTATGTTAGCGATAGAGCCTAAGTTATGGATTAGCCTATTATGAGGTACTTTGAGTTAGCAATGGGTTTTAATAAATTTTTCCTGTGAACTAACTTGCCAAATTACATTTCTCCCAGAATGTGTCATCCTATTTATAAGGTATACAATACTCAAAATTACTTTTATTCCTTGTGTATCAAATCTTAAAATAATTTTTAACTAATCTTTGTCTCCAGTTACATTATCTTATAAGAAACAGACGTGTGTGTCTGTGTGCTTGTGAGTACACTTGTGTGCACCTGTAAGCAAGTGTGCATGTGTGTGTTTGTGAGTATGAAGTACCTCTGGAAATATGGTAATACCACCTAGTTTATTTCACATAATCCTGAACTATTTCATTATGAAGATCATTATTTTTCTTCTCATATTATTCTTTATATACCATCTTAGTTCTGCTTTTTAGGAAATAAAGTTAAAAAATAAGAAGGAGTGAAATAATGCACTAAGACAAAAATATTTAAATGAGATAAACTCATTTTCACATCATTTGTTCATAATAATAGCAATTGCGAACATTTACTGAGTGCTTCCAATGATTCTATAGAGCTCTGGTGGCAGGGTAAGGCATTTGGCTGCTAATCAGAAGGTCTGTGGTTCAAATCCACCAGCTGCTCTGTGGGAGGAAGCTGAGACAATCTACTTCTGTAAAGATTTACAGCTTTGGAAATCCAATGGGGGTAACTATGAGTTGGAATCAACTTGATGGCAGTGAGTTGTTGTGTTTGGTTGGTTGGTTTTGCAATGATATTAAGTACTTTATATGTATTAACTCATTTAAACATCACTCTTTTCTTGTGAAAGAGCTCTAGGGGTGCAGTAGCTAAGGAATTCAGCTGCTAACCAAAAGGCCAGGGATTCAAAACCACCAGCTGCTCCTCAGGAGAAAAATGAGGAAGTCTGCTTTAGTAAGGGTTTTTTGTGGTTGTTATTGTTAGGTGCTGTCAAGTCAGCTCCAACAACCTTATGTACAACAGAATGAAACACTGCCCAGTTATGCGCCATCCACACAATTCTTGCTATACTTTGAGCACATCATTGCAGCCACGGTGTCAATCCATACTTTTTTTTTTTTTTTTTTAATTGTGCTTTAGGTGCAAATTTACAGAGCAGAATTTGTTTTACATTCAACATTTTGTGTACACTTGGTTTCACTCCCCAATTACCATCCCCAACCCTAACCCACTCTCCTCTCCCTTCCCAGTAACTGCCCTCCCTGCCCTTCTTAGCTATGCACTCCTGTCTGTCCAGGTTTTCCTCCATGTGACTATTCCCCTCTGGTGCTCCATGACTGATTGTTCCAAAGGATGTATCTCCGTAGAGTAGTTGGGTGCATCGCCCTGGGTTGGGTGTTCTGCATGTAAGTCTTATTTACTATTAGGCTGAGAGCCAGTCCTTGGGAGTGAGTTTTATCCCAGGCCTGAAGTATATCCCAGGGCCATAGTCTTGGGGGTCGCACCAGACTCCATCCAACCAGTAATTCTGGCCATTATTGGGTTTTTGGATTTTGTTCCACATTTTTCCTCCCACTCTATCCAGGATCTCCAATTTTGATCCCTTTCCAAGTGGCTGGCACCATCTAGTTCTTCTGGATTTGAGGTTCATCATGTCCCAGGGCTGATTGTTTCCAAATGCTCTTGGTTTTCTTCACTCTTCTTCTCTTCTGATGATAGGGAACCTTTAGCTGCATTTTAGATAGCCACTCGAAAGCTTTTAAGACCCCAGTCGCTACTCACCAAAGTAGGTTGTAGAACAAGATTTTTATGTATTATGTTGTGCCAACTGAGTCTGGTGTCCCTTAATACTATAGTCCTGATTCAGCAGATCTGGTGGATCTCTTTCCCACAGTGTCTGGCTGTCTAGGAGGGATTGCTCTATGTCTTCTGTTGCTTCTGTAATGAATGCGGGTATTTTGTATCACTAGTATCTGGTAGCATAGTGGCTAAGACACTTGCCTGCTAACCAGACGGCTGGCGGTTCAAACCCACCAGCCACTCCTCGGAAGGAAGGTTGGGCAATCCTACTTCCGTAGTGATACTGCCTCGGAAACCCAAGGAGGGGTTGCTATGAGTCAGGTTTGACTCGACGGCACATAACAACAACAACAAAAGTATTGTGCAAGATTAGCCTCAGCTGAATCTATCTTTTGTCTAGAGTATAATCCTGTTCACTGACCCCCACCTGATCTTCTCAGTTGTCTATGTGTTTATCTGTAGCTTGTGTTTGGTGTTAATGACAATGACGTATTGTGGATATACTATTAGCCTCTGTTGTCTATCTATATCTTATGTGCATAATTTGGTGTCTTCCCTTTCTCCAATGTTATCATGCTGTTCACAGACTCTTTCCATACCATCCCTCGCCTTACCCAACTCAGCGTGTGGCCCCCAACTAGTTCCAAATTATACCCTCTCATTCCCTACCATTGTCTGTAACCTACAAAATGTATTCTCTTCCCTAAGCAAACCCTTCCTTGACTTTTTACAGTAATGGGCTCATCAATATTTGTCCTTCTGTGATTTATTTCACTCAGCATAATGTTTTCCAGGCTCATCCACGTTATGAGATGATTCGCATATCCTTCATTGTTTTTTAATATAGCATAGTATCCCACTGTGTGAATGTACCATAGTTTGGTTATCCATTCATCTGTTGATGGGCATTTAGGTTATTTCCATCTCTTTACTAAAGTGAATTTTACTGCAATGAACATGGGTGTGCATATGTCTGTTCATGTCCTGTCTCTCACTTCTTTAGGATATATTCCTATTAATGGAATTACTCATTCAAATGGTATTTCTATTTTCAGTTTTTTAAGGAAATGCCATAACATTTGCCACAATGGTCAGGATGTATTATTTTTTTATATGTTGTTGGATTCTATTGGCTAGGATATTGTTGAAGATTTTTGCATCTATATTCATGAGGGATATTGTTCTGTGTTGTTGTTGTTGTTAGGTGCCGTTGAGTCATTTCCGACTCATAGTGACCCCATGCACAGCAGAATGAAACACCACCTGATCGTGCGCCAGCTCCGTGATCCTTGATATACTTGAGCCCATTGTTGGAGCCACTGTGTCAAACCATCTCGTTGAAGGCCTTCCCCTCTTTCATCGACCCTCCACCTTACCAAGCATGACATCCTTCTCCAGGGAATGGTCCCTTCTGACAAGTGTTCCGTTTTAGTGGTGCTTTTCTCTGCTTTTGATATCAGTGTTATGCTTGCTTCATAAAATGAGTTTGGGAGTATTCTGTCTTTTTCTGTGTTCTGGAATAGCTTGAGTAGTATACATGTCAGTTCTTCCCTGAATGTTTGGTAAAATTCTCCAGTGAAGCCATCAGGGCCAGGACTTTTTCTTATGGGAAGTATTTTATGACTTGTTCAATTTCTTCCTTTGTTATGGGTCTGTTCAAGTATTCTGTCTCCAATTGGGAATAATTTAGGTAGGTCTTGTGTTTCTAGAAACATGTCCATCTCTTCTAGGTTCTTGAATCTTTTGGAGTACAGTTCTTCATAATACTCTGTCAGTACCTTTCTTATTTCAGTTGGCTCTGTTGTAATGTCACTCTTTTCGTTTCTTCTTTTTTTTTAATTGTGCTTTATATGCAAGTTTACAGAGCAAAGTTTGTTTTACATTCAACATTACATTTAGTTTCACTCCCCATTTACCATCCCCAACCTTAATCCAATCTCCTCCCCTCCCTGTCCAGTAACCCTCCTCACCCCCTGCCTCTCACAGTTATGCACTCCTGTGTGTCCTGCATTTCCTCCGTGGGAATGTTGCCCCTCTGGTGCCCCATGGTTGATCGCTCCAAGGGATGCATTTCCACAGAGTACGTGTGTGTGTCACCTTGGTTTGAGTGATTTTCTTATACATCTTGTTTACTATTGGGCTGAGAGCCAGCCCC